CACGGGCCGCAATTCTTGCCTTATTTCTCGAAAAGTGCGTTCCACCCCCCGTCGCCCAAGTCTTTAAGCCCCTGCCGAAAAGATCTAGGGGGCCCATCTCAAATAGTCTACATACAACGAAGCCTGGACCACGATATGAAGAAAAATCAGCCCCAATAAGCCATAATTTAAACCCAATGTGCCATCCTCTCTTCCATTTGATTCTTTATTCTTGGCATAATATCAACCCTAAACAACCCCAGCATGACCCCCAACATTCTTATCCTTTCTTTAATAAGAAAAACCATCTAGACAAGCTGCTGGGCTTGGCTTTGAGTTTCAGCCGAAGACTCTGCTGCGTGGTTTTGGCTAGAAGCACCTCAAATACCAGGACCCCCAGTCACCAACCACCCTTAAGCAAGGTTTATAAGTGTATGTAGAACCTGTTTGCGGGCACTTGGGTTCTATACATGGTACTCGCTGGTGGGATTTGGGATAGATGAGCTAGCTTTGAATCGACTTTAATTTGAGTTTTTTTCAAACGAACAAAGGTGGTCCCCTGTGCATGCCCCAAAGTATATGTTCCTTCAGTGAACGGGACGCCAGATTCCATTCCCCGTTTTGATGGATCCTGGAATCTAAAGGGGGCAGAAAGCACATCCAAAAGTTTTGTTGCACAACCCCTGAACAGTGAGAATAGGGGCATGGTCCTTCCCTTAATATGCCACCCAACAACCCCACAGATAAACTCAATATGGAGGGTCTCCTGCAGCAGGCAGTTTTTGTCAGGCAGCAGGGGAAGCACATAATGTTGGGGAAAGTGAGCTTTTAACTCATAAGAATCTGGTTGCCTGCCACAGCCTGGCAATTTACGCGCTTGACCCAACCTAGCAGCCCACCCGCAAGGGGCACCATCATTCAGAGAAATCGTCACGTACTCAGCCCAAATGAACCTCCTCAAACCCAAAATCCCGGAACCCTAAGCCCCTAAACCCAACAAACACTAAACCCCTTGATTCCAGGCCTGAGCCTTAAGCCACAGTCCCCAATCCCAAAACCTGAAATCCTTAAACCCTATGTTGGACCGCTGGACCTCCTTTATTGGACAGACCCTATATGATGTTTGTGCACACAGGCGGCTGTTTATGCAGCATTTTCAATACGCTTTGGCACGGCTTTGCAGGCACCATGTGGGCTCAAAATGGCTGGCCGGCACAGTTTTGCAGGTATCACGAGGCTTCAGCGTAAGGCACCATGTTGGCTGAAAACGGGTGGTCGGCGCTGCTTTGCAGGTACCACGTGGCTTCAAAGCGGTTGCGGGAAGGAAGGAAAGAAGAATGGCCCACAGTGGATTGGCAGCGGTGAATGGGATGAGTGAACGAGATCCGGAGGAAAAATGAAAAGCTGGTTGGAGAGGAGACCCCCGCAAGAATGGGGAGCGCCCCAGATGGATTCGGTGTGAACCGCCGTTTTCGGCGCAAAAACCACTTTGCCTCGAGAAAGGATGGTTTCTGACCCCCCGGACCCCGAGATTGGGGTATGGGCGAAACTATTCTGAGCTTCATTCAATCCATCGCAAAAAAAATACGCATCCTCTGCCTGGATGTGAGTAATTCGAGTGACTCATGGTACTGGTCCGGGTCGGCCCAAGGCAACAGTTGCGAGTGAGGGGGGGGACCCACGACGAGACCAGGAGACTGGTGAAGGGGGATAAGGAGTGGGGAGGAGCAAGAGAGCATGGCAAACGCAACAAAAGCAAAATGTGGACTTCTGTTTTCACAGTCCGGGCAAAGTGGAATGTTCACTTCGCGATATGCTTTGTAGGAGGGATTGGCTCCCGCATTCCATCTGCACTTGTTGTGGGAGTGAGTGACGGTGTTGCATGAGGCACAGGCCTTGGAGGCCGCGACACCAAGGCATGCGCGAGAGGATTCGATTCCAGTCGGGAGTGAGACACCCCCACATGCCCAGCAAATAGCAATCCGAGCTAAACAGACGTTGGAGCAACAGCTATGTGCCCACTGCGGGGGTGCGACGGCCCACGCTGGTGGTATAGGCGGCCCCGTCATTGGCGCGAAGGAGGCGTAGGATTGGATCCTGCGCCGCGCGTGAAAGTTCGGGCGGTGAGACAGCCCTTTGAGGAACGTGCGGGAACAATGCTGATAATTATTCGGGATTCAACAATACGCTTGGGGTTCTTTGGCTACCACGGGCCGGCAAGCCATTTGAATCATCAGCGGGCTTAAAACTGGCTGATCAATCCCACATCCTCAGCTTTAAGGCCTTTGAGACCCAAACAATAGCTGCAGGTTGGCCGCCAAGGCTATTCAAGATAAGCTCAGAAGAGCTGCGCACGCGTAGCGCGCAGACCTTTGAACCCAAGATCGGCTTACAAGAGCTGCGGGTTGACAGCCCACAGGGCCAGAGCTGCCAGAAAGCAGCCCGTATGGCCTTTGAGGGGGGCTGACAAAAGCAGCGGGGTGGCAGCCCGCGGCGCCTTGGCGACTCAAGATGCACTTGCAAGAGCTGCAGGGCGGCAGCCCGCAGAGCCTTTGAGACCCAAGACGGGCTTACAAGAGCTGCGTGTAGGCCGTGTAAGCAGCCCGCAGGGCCTTTAGCAGCATCCAGAGTTGTTGAAACCCAAAATGAATGTACCAAAGCTGCGATTGGCAGCCCGCAGGGGCTTTGACATCCAAGAAGGGCTCACCAGAGTTGCGGGTTGGCAGCCCAAGGGCCTTTGAGACTCAACATAAATTTGCTTAACAATAGTTGCCGGTGTGCCTTTGAGACCCAAGATGAGCTCACAAGAGCTGCGGGTTGGCAGCCCGCAGAACCTTTTGGCGACCCGAGATAAGGGACAAGAACTGCGGATTGGCAGCCCGCAGGGCCTCGGGGCCTTGGCAGCCCGCAGAGCCTTTGAGCTTCAAGATGGGCGTACAAGGGCTGCGGGCTGGCAGCGCGCAGAGCCTTTGAGACCCAAGTTGGAATTGTACAGGTTGGCAGCCTGCAAAACCATGGAGACCCAACATGGGCTTGCAGGAGCTGCGGGTTGGCAGCCCGCAGAGCTTTTGAGATCCAAGATGGGCTTGCAACAGCTGCAGGTTGGCAGCCCGCAGAACCTTCGCGACCCAAGATGGGCTCACAAGAACTGCGGGCTGGCAGCCCGCAATGCCTTTTGAGGTCTTTTGAGACCCAAGATCGGCTTACGAGCGCTGCATTGGCAGCCCGTAAACCCATGTGAGCCCCAATATAGGCACACTAGAGGCGCGGGTCGCCTTTGAAGATAGACTCAAAAGAGCTGCCGGTTGGCAGCCCGCAGGTCTTTTGAGACCCAAGAAATGCGGGTTGGCAGCCCGCAGGGACATTAACATGCAAGCTGGGCTTACAAGAGCTGCGGGTTGGCAGCCCGCAAGGCCTTTTGAGGCCTTGTGAGAACCAAAATGGGCTCACAAGAGCCGAGCTGGCAGCCCCTGAGGCCTTTGAGATCAAAGATAAGCTCACAAAAGGTGCGGGTTGGCAATCTGCAGGGCCTTTTGAAAACCCAAATGGGCTCACAAGAGCTGCGGGTTGGCAGCCCACAGGGCCTTTGACACCCAAGATGGGTTCAAACAAGCTGCGGGTTGGCAGCCCGCAAGGCCTTCGGCGACCCAAGATTGGCTCACAAGAGCTGCGGGCTGACAGCCCACAGGACATAAACTAACAAGAACTGCCAGTTGGAAGCCCGCTGGGCTTTTGAGACCCACCCTTTGAGGCTCAAGATTGGTTCACAAGAGCTGCGGGTTGGCAGCCCGCAGGGCCTTTGAGACCCAAGTTTAGCTTACAAGAGCTGCGGGTTTGCAGCCCGCAGCGCCTTATGAGACCCAAGATGGGCTTACAAGAGCTGCGGGTCGGCAGCCATAGAGCCTTTGAGACCCAAGATGGGTCCTCAAGAGCTGCGGGTTGGCAGCCTGCAATATCGTTTGAAACGCAGCCCGCATGCGGGGCCTTTCTGAGATCCAAGATTGATTCAAGAGTTGCGGGAGCAGCCCGCAGAGCCCTTTGAAGTCCAAGATGGACCCACGAGAGCTGCGGGATGACAGCCCGCAGTGCCTTGGCGACCAAAATGGGCTTGCAAGATCTGGGAGCGCGGGGCCTTTGACACCCAAGATGAGCTTAGCTGGCACGCGCTGGCCACTAGCCCACCTACCCCAGCCCGAGCCTACCACCCAACTGGCTCACAAGAGCTGCGGGCTGACAGCCCGCAAGACCTTTCAGACCCCACATAAACAAGAACGGCCGGTTGGCAGCCCACGGGCTCACAAGACCTGTGGGTTGGCAGCCTGCCATGCCTTTTGAGGCCTTTTGACGAGTTTACAAAACCACGGATTGCCAGCCCTTTCAAGCTCAAGATGGGCT